TGGAGTTTCACCCGTTTTACGCGAAGTGGAGTAATACTCCACGTGAAAAACGTGATATTCGCGATGTGAAGTGAATTGAAAACACTTCGCGAATTACACCAAACAAATCATCACATTTCACGTAAAACGCTTCCGGCATTTCGCGATAAACGCGAAAAACTCCGAGTAATCGGCGTTTTACACCATTTATTTCACAAGGGAGATTGTGAATTTCGCGAAATTTTTTATCGAGAAAAACGCGATTTGGAGACGTGAAAAAAGGCATGTAAAATGAATTTCACTTCCCGATGTGAATTTCGCGTGAAAAAACGCGTTTTCGCGAAATTCACATGGAGTAAATCGCGATATGCACCGACTAGGGTGAAAAGGCCAGTGAAAAACACGTATTACACTTCAGCTTCATTTTTCGCGAAATAACGCGTAATTCGCCAGAAAATACGCGTTTTTCGCGTTTTATACGGGGAAAAACGCGGAAAACACCCCACCCCGCAGTAAAATCCATTAAAAGTCCCCTTCATGCCACTGCCAGCTGTCCACCCACATTTCACTCTATGGAGTCACCTCACTCGCGGGATCCGTCTTATTACTGGCACTTCCACGTTGGGGCCTCGTGGGATGATCATGATCATCATCCCGTCAACAGCCATATGTAGCAACCAGCCTTGCGGACCCCTCTGTGAGGGATTGTGGGCGAGAGCTGAGCGAGGTTCGAACCGGGAACCTCCCGATGAACAGCTTGGCAGCATAACCTACTTAACTAATCATCCTCATAAGATGTGTCCATGTGTCACTCTGCCCCACGTCCCCGGATTTTTTTCACCCGTGTCCCGCACCGACAACGATATCCTTGTCGGTGCGGGGATACCTGTTGGATATCCTTGTCGGTGCGGGGATACCCATTGGATATCCTTGTCGATGCGGGGATACCTGTTGGATATCCTTGTCGGTGCGGGGATACCCATTGGATATCCTTGTCGGTTCAGGGATATCCAAATAACTGGGATAGGGGTGGCAAATTAGAGACAGGTTTCCCTAGGATATTTGAAGTGTTGATTTAAGTTATAGCCAGTGCAAGGTTTGAGACTGTAGGCATAATGACCCCAAATATGCGTATTTCGCGCAAAACGCGAAATAATTTCGCGTTTTGCATATCACATGAAAAACACCTCACGTGTATTACGCGAAATTCACTGCTAAAATGCGTTTTTCGCGAAGTGAAATGTGAAATGTGTTTTTCACTAGTGTTTTTCACATCACGGGTGAAACTCCAATGAAGAATTTTCTGAAATTTTCCCCCCGAAAAATTCAATTTCGGATTTTTTTCCAATTACTCATGAATTTACTCTCTTTCAATTATGTCAAAATTCTCCAGAACATCTCTTCAGGGAATTTTTCGCCGAAAAAAAAACACACATACCAGCCAAGATTTACTCTTTTCCTTTTCCATGATTTTCCATCGAAAATTTCCCAAAGTTTTCCCACCTGCGGATTCATCTTGTTGTGGAGGAAACTGTTCATGAGTAACATCATCGTGATTCTGAAATATATACACTGTAGTTTCACGACTACCCGTTTTACGTGATGTGGCGTCGTAAAACTCGGTGAAAAACGCGATATTCGCGGTGATATGCAGTAGTCGTGAAATATATTTTTCACTAGTGTTTTTCATATCACTAGGGCGAGAATACTCCACTGCAAATCGATAATTTTGTAATCATCATGTGGGAAACAATA